CTAAAATGAACAAGCGAAAAATCGAAGAGGAAAAGAAGAGATCAAGAGCAAAATGATTGTTTTTCACTTCTTCATGTACCTATTGCACTAAAAATTCAGAAGATAATTTGCCCCAATTTGACGAATTCGGATTAGGGATTTGAGGCAAATAGATGGCTAAACGATATCATTAAGTATTAATTTTGCTGACTTGGCTTTGCTGGCAAGCCATGTCGAACGGTTTGAACTATAATATTGCCATGTCGGATTTTTCAGCCACTAAAATCGCTGGTGATATTGAAGTTATTATCTTTTTTACCAAAATGACACTCAAGTAATCGCTCGAAAAATTTTGGCACTGAAATGAGCGCTATACGAAAACTATGACACTTGTAGTGTCCTTTCTCAAAAAATCGAAAATCCAAAAACAAAACATAAATACTAACATTGACTCTTGACTCAAATGAAACTCTAGATCCAAATCACAATGCATGGGACTTAGCAAACAAATAGAAATACTAAAATACTCTTCTCGAATTTCTTGACCGGAATTGCGTATTTGGGGCATAAGGCGTTTATAGGAAGACTCCTTGCATGAAAAAATGATTAATTTGAAATTACACACAAACTCTGATAAAAAAAAAGGGTTAATATCAATAAAAATCTCAAACTGGTATACCTGTGATAAATTTACCCCAAACTAATTTTTTTACCACAAAAAATTTCAAACTGGTAGACCTGTAATAAATTTATTTCAAACTAATTTTTTGACTACAAAAAATCCCAAACTGATACACTTGTGACAAATTTACCTTCCGTTAAATTGGATTAATATCCCGAAAAATCACAAACTAGTAAATCAATGACAAACATAGGGGTAAAACCCTAAATTTGCGCACCCGTTAACATTTAACGGAAACTAACGGAAGATAAATTTATCACAAGTGTATCATTTTTTGGGTTTTTGGTGATTAAAAAATTAGTTTAGGGTAAATTTGTCACAAATATATCAGTTTGGAGTTTTTTGTGCTATTAACGGAAAAAAATATATAAACAAACAACTTTCAAAAATATATTATTTTACTATAGGGAAACACTAAAAGCCTCACAAATACCAATAGATAGAGACCTTTAAAGTTCTGCCGATTGAGTTGTATATATGTTCCTCCATGCAATTTATCATTAATTGTGGATAAACATAAACTGGTTGTGGCGTCGAATAGCAAACAAATTGTAAAACGTCAAGCAAGAAACATAGAAAAGTGTTGACTTCAAAAAACGCCTCCTCCACTAAGGACGAAAATGAGAATAGCGCAGACGAATCCTTTTAGGCAATTCTTTGTAAACTCTTTTTTTTTTTTTAACGGAAAAGGTTGCTTATATGATTATCCTTATCACTGGAATCACAGCGGTTGTTTTGTTCGACTTGTATTCTTGGTCTATCCACTTTCCTGATTGTCAGTAAGCAATTTCATCATCCAATTTAGTTTAATGCCAAACACCTGATCAGCAAAACATGACTCATCCCACTTGTTGACGTATGTGGATGGTTGTGCTAACTTTGCATTTTGCGGGAGAAATGCTGGAGGTAGGAACTAGGGCTGTCAAAATAACCCAGTCAAACACGACCCGACCTGAAAATTTTCATATTGGGTCAGGTTGGGCCTCGGCTTGTTTGGGTAATAATCAAAACAATACCCAATTGTTTTGGGTTTATTGGGCTCGGGTACCCAGCCTAACCCAAACAATGAAACATCTCTCTTCCACATCTCTCTCACACACTCTCTCGCCTCTCCTAGGTTGTCACGCCCCGAACCCTACGAGCGCGCGATCATCCCTTTGTGGTCGTAATGTACGCGACATCCCAGGACTTGTCGCCGACCCAATCGAAACACTAACGAGTAACACATGCGGAAGCAAACTCGAACTCTCCGTACAACATATAAACAACGGGATAGTAGAGAGACAAAGAATACACATCAATAAGACACTTTTATAAATATAACATCGATTACAACACATACATTTGCAAGCCTTCTACGAGGCCACTATCTACAAACCACGCACAACAACAAGGATCGGGTGATTGGTAAGCTTAACTCCTCTACAAAAAGGGGCACTCAAAAGATGGGATAACTCGACCTATCCTCAATTCCCGTAGTATCCTCACAGCATCTCCGGATCAATCACGGTCGCGAGTCTGAAATGGTCTGGTTATACAACCATGAGAACACTTCTCAATAAGCAACTACCTAAGCCTCGCTTAGGCCAAAGCGTACCTCCGAACAATTCTAAACATGCAGTACCGACATCCAACATGTCATAACAATCACAGGCGCCCTTACCTCGCATCGGCACATACGTGAGCCCTGCACGTTAGAATATCGCCATAACATGGCAATTCGCTTCTCGAGCACATAATACAACCACATGACGTAAACGTGCATAAAATGGTTATTAATCCAGACATGCTCAATAGCAACACAAGCACATTGCATTCCCCAATGCATAACACACGATTATAAATATCCAGATTATTAACGGCCCCTCGGGCCACCGAACCCCCGTCGGTCTTCTGGCGTAACCAGGCATCGTCCCGCTATTTCGGCGATGGCAACGTCCGGAACCCACGCCCAGATGGCATTCCACAAAGGAGCATCGATCCGGCCTCCACCGCGATCGGCAATGTCTAGAACCCCCGCCTAGACGGCATCCGAACCCCCGTCGGGCATCGTCTAGAACCCCTGCCTAGACGGAACGTGTCGTGACCATGGACACACTCAACAACCATTACCGATTCTTATCTTTATGAATTAACCAAATGTCAACTAAGTCTGCACTCATCAATTAAAAAGCCGCGCCTTTCTTTTGTAACAAAATCTCTGAAAAGTTCCCGAGAGAGAGAAAAAAACCGAGTATGCACAGAATCGGGGCCAAATTGAGCAGTTGTACAGTGACTGAAATCCTTTTTAAATAAATAGTAAATCAACTTCAAAAATTCTAAATTTTGGATATGTCGTAAAAAACATCTTGATAAACATTTTCCATGAGAACTCAAAACCCAGTTCCAACTGTAAACGCCTCGTTTTGACACTCAAATCCGGACAGAATCCGGTTCACTCGGACAGCCCCTCAGACCATCAAAATACAACTCATCCAGTACCCAAATCACTTTGGAAAGCTCTGAAATTTTTATATGTCATAGACACCGATGTTATTAACAATGTTTGTGAGGGAATTTTGTTGAAAAGAGGTCTGGAAAAATTTATAGAAAATCGGAAAGACCAGAAGGTCGGATGAACAGTAAATCCGGCAGACTGAATTCGGTCCAAAATGGACTTACGAATGGCACTAAATGATCTCCAAAAAGTCCAAATTTAATATATGTCATACTTCAAGATGTTATGAACAACTTTCATGAAGAACACTTTCACAAATTCGGCCCACAACAGTCACAGAGAAAATAGTAAAATCCAGCGACGCAGCAGCAACCCTACCGGAAATCAACCAACAAACACCACTAAGCAAACCAAGCACAACCAGCCACTAAACCAACTATCCACAGCCTCTAATCCACCCCTAAACATGTCCATTAGTAACCCATTATCCTAACCAAGGCTTAGGGAGTACTTACTCTTAGCCTAAGCAAGAAAACCAAGAAGAAAAGGCAGCAGCAACTCCGGCGGTGAGCTGAGCTCACGGTGGCTGAACGGCGTGGCTGCGGTGGTCAGCGAGCAGCTGGTCTGGTGGGATGAAATGGAGAAGCAAGAAACCGCAGAAGCCAAAGGAAGCAAAAGCAAAATGAAGGAGCCGCAGAAGCAAAGAAGAAATAGAAGAGAAGAAGAAGTAGCAGCAGCAGCAGCAATTGAAGGACAGAAGCAGCAGCAACGTGGGGCAGAAATGAAGCAGAAACAGCAGCAGGCGTGGGGGTGGTCAGCAAAGCAGCAGCAAGGGTCAGCAGAAAGCAACAATTGAGCAGCAAGGGAATGAGTAGAAGTCAGTCACAGCAGAGGGAAGCAGAAGCAGCAGCAGCAAGCAACGTAGGAGCAGAAGCAGTCAACCAACATGATCAGCAAGAGCAGAAGTCAGCAGAACAGCATGGGTTCGGCAGAGCAACAGCAGCAGTCACGTGAAGGAGTGGGGAAAGTCAGCAGAACAGGAGTCAACAAGTGGGGGTCAGCAAAGCAAAGGTAGAAGTAGCGACGTGGGGCTGCTCGGCGGGGAAAGAGGTCAGCGGCGTGGGATTTCAGCGGGGTAGGAGGAGAGGAGAGAGAGATTTTCAATATTATCTCCACAAAAATAATTTGTCCACAAAATATTTTGCCAAATTTTCCTTTTTCCAAAATTTCCGATCAACCCGATAATTGGCCACGTTTAATGAGACGACGTCCGATAAATTAGTCGTGGAAATCTTGAAACTTCGATACCCAATTCAGATTCTAATTAATGGCAAAATTCAATTGAACGCAACTTTAATGCATCTCGAACTAACGGGCGGCTTTTAGGAATTTACGCATATCGACTCATGGCCGATTCGATATCGAGCCACATCTAAGTTTACTCGAGCCATGGCAACCTCCGTTGTCATGTAATTGCGAGGGTCAATCACTAATTCCGAATGGCGCGATCGTTCGGATTATGTTTAGGATCGTTCGAAATTCATACAATGGCCAAGCGGAATCACCCGCGACCCAATTGCACGACATTTGCGAATTGTTCCATAACTATCCTTGGATCGGCCTTTAATGGCCCAAAATATTCCCTCGCAAATCCTTTTGGTCGAAGTGTCAATCCATGGCCAAGTTCTTAGGTCCACATACTTGATTCCTAGCTAGCCATTCCCTAACGGTTAGTCTACTCGAGAGTGATCAATTCCGAGCGAGATTTCACTGAAAGCGCATTGAAGAAATATTTATTTTATAAATCCCAAAAATGGGTCGAAATTCAGAATGTCACATGGGTGGTAGGGTTTGTTGCTATCTGCGGTTCCTGAGGCGGCGAAGTCGATTCCGAATGGGGCCATGGCCGAAAGAATCATAGGGAAGGTCAAGTGGTTTAGCGACCAGAAGGGCTTCGACTTCATAACCCCCGACGACGGCTCTAAGGATCTCTTCGTCCACCAGTCCTCCATCCAGTCCCGGGGCTTCCGCAGCCTCGCTGAGGGCGAGACCGTCGAGTTCCAGATCAAGTGCGACTCATTATCCTCATCGATTTCAGGACCGTCGAGGATTCTTTCCTTTGGTTATTTTCGGTCGTCCAACGTCGGTGAACGAAGCGTTCTGGAAGTTGAAAATCGAAGGTTACATGTTCTGTTCATCTGCATTTGCTTATGTTCGAAAAGGGTTCAGTCTTTCAGATCTAAAGGTAGGTAAGTGGAGTGATTTTTTGCAATCTTTGAAATCATTGTCAATAATTTTCGAAATTCTGCATTTAATGGAGACGTTTCAGCTCCTTGGCCTGGTGTCTTCTTCATCTTGGTGTATGTCTTCTTCAACCCAAAGGATCCTTGGCTACAGTGGGGGTAGTTACGGCGGGGCGGCAACGGTGGCGGCGGGAGAGGAAGAGGAGGAGGCGGCTACGGCCGAGGCGGAAGCTGCTGTAACTTAACATTAATTTAAATTTAAAATATGAAATACGAAACCCGGCCCGACCTGACCCGACCCGATCGTATGGCTATATCTTGTTTGGGTCTTGTCCCGGGTCGGGCCAAACACACGTGTTGATTATATCGGGTCGGGTTGGGCATCATCAAAACCCGATAATAGCATTGACTCTTGTCTCAAATGAAACTCTAGATCCAAAATACAATGCATGGGACTCAACAAACAATTAGAAATACTCAAAACACTTTCCTCGAATTTCTTGACCGGGATTGTGTATTTGGGGCGTGAGGTGGATAACTTCCTTTAGAAGACTCCTCGCATGAAAAATGATTCATTTGAAATTAGACACATACAACTTTCAAACATTATTATTGCCTATATGGAATCACTAAAAGCCTCACAAATATCTATTGGAAGAGAGCCTTAAAATTCTGCCGATTGAGTTGTATATATGTTCCTCCGTGCAATGTAGCATTAATCGTGGATATGACTTGTCACGCCCCGAACCCTACGAGCGCGCGATCATCCCTTCGTGGTCGTAATGTACGCGACATCCCAGGACTTGTCGCCGACCCAATCGAAACACTAACGAGTAACGCATGCGGAAGCAACCTCGAACTCTCCATACAACATATAAATAACGGGATAGTAGAGAGACAAAGAATACACATCAACAAGACACTTTTATAAACAACATCGATTACAACACATACATTTGCAAGCCTTCTACGAGGCCACTATCTACGAACCACGCACAATAACATGGATCGGGTTGTTGGTAAGCTTAACTCCTCTACAAAAAGGTGCACTCAAAAGACGGGGTAACTCGACCTATCCTCAATCCCCGTAGTATCCTGGCAGCATCTCCGGATCAATCACGGTCGTGGGTCTGAAATGGTTTGGTTATACAACCATGAGAACACTTCTCAATAAGCAACTACCTAAGCCTCGCTTAGGCCAAAGCGTACCTCCGAACAATTCTAAACATGCAGTACCGACATCCAACATGTCATAACAATCACAGGCGCCCTTACCTCGCCTCGGCACATACGTGAGCCCTGCACGTTAGAATACCGCCATAACATGGCAATTCGCTCCTCGAGCACATAATACAACCACATGACGTAAACGTGCATAAAACGGTTATTAATCCAGACATGCTCAACAGCAGCACAAGCACATTGCATTCCCCAATGCATAATGTACGATTATAAATGTCCAGATTATTAACGGCCCCTCGGGCCACCGAACCCCCGCCGGTCTTCTGGCGTAACCAGGCATCGTCCCGCTACTTCGGCGACGGCAACGTCTGGAACCCCCGCCCAGACGGCATTCCACAAAGGAGCATCGATCCGGCCTCCACCGCAATCGGCAACGTCTAGAACCCCCACCTAGACGGCATCCGAACTCCCGCCGGGCATCGTCTAGAACTCCCGCCTAGACGGAACGTGTCGTGACCATGCACACACCTCAACAATCATTATCAATTCATATCTTTGTAAATTAGCCCAATATCAACTAAATCCACCAAAATGTCATGGTAATACCGATCAGTTCCCGAGAGAGAGAAAAACCGAGTACGCACAAAACCGGAGCCAAACTGGGCTGTTGCACAGTGACCGAAATTATTTTTAAATAAATAGTAAATCAACTCTAAAAATTATAAATTTTGGATATGTCATATAAAACATCTTGATAAACATTTTCCATGCAGAACTCAAAACCCAGTTCCAACCGTAAACACCTCTTTTTTTCACTTGAAGTCAGACGAAATTCAACCCGTCCGGTCAGGCCGCCTGACCATCAAAATGCATCTTATCCAGTATCCAAATCACTTTGGAAAGCCTTGAAATTTTTATATGTCATAGACACGAATGTTCTTAAAAAATTTTGTGAAGGAAGTTTCTTGAAAAGAGGTCTGGAAAAATTTATATAAAATCGGAAAGACCAGAAGGTCGGATGAACAGTAAATCCGGCAGACTGAATACGGTCCAAAAATGGACTTACGAATGACCCTAAATGATCTCCAAAAATTCCAGATTTAATATATGTCATACTTCAAGATGTTATGAACAACTTTGACGAAGAACACTTTCACAAATTTGGCCCACAACAATCACAGAGAAAATAGCAAAGACCAGCGATGCAGCAGCAACCTTATCAGAAATCAACCAACAAGCACCACCAAGCAAACCAAGCACAACCAGCCACTAAACCAACTATTCACAGCCCTTAAACCATCCCTAACATGCTCATTAGTCACCCCTTAGCCTAGTCAAGGGTTAGGAAGCCACTTACACTTAGCCTAAGCAAGAAAACCGAGCGAAAGGAGCAGCTGCCACGGCAAAGCAAAGAGCCGACGCCGGAGCAGCAGCAGCCTCGGCGGACAAAGCGGCAGCTCACGGCAGAGTCGGGTGGAGATGGGGGCTGAACGGTGGTGCTGGTCGGGCTGGAATGGAGGGCGAGAAGCAGCAGAAACCAGAGGAAGCAGAATGAAGAAGCAAGTAGCGGCAAGCGAAGAAGAGAAAATGAAGTAGAAGCAAGAGGCGCAGGGTGGTCAAGCAAAGAAACAATGTAGGGGGAAGTTAGCAGAAGCATAGTAGTGATAGAAACAACGTGGGGCAGCATGGGCAGCTTGAGGAGTCAGTGGATGCAGCGGTAAGAAGCAGAAGCAAGCCAGAAATGGCATGGGCGGAGCAGAAGCAACACGGCAGCAGAAGCAGCAAGGAAGTCCATCATGGCAGCTACATGGGGAGGTCAGTAACGTGGGGGAGTCAGCTGAAGTATGGGGGAGTGATGATGGCTGGTGGAGTTGGTGGAAGAAGTCAAGAGCAGCAGCAAAGGGAGAAGCAGAAACAGAAGCAAAGCAAAAGCATGGGTGGAGCAGCGTGAGATGAGGAGTCAACAACGTGGAGGAGGGCAGCGGGGAAAGAGGAGGAAGTCAGCGGCGTGGGGCAGCGGCGACGTGGGGGAGGAGAGAGACAAGAGAAGAGAGAGAAAGTGACGCAGAAAGAAAGCGTAAATTTGGAACAACTCCAAAGAACTCGAAATTTTTATTCAATAATACTGTGATTTTGATTACAAGACGGATATCTTATATATAGAGATAGGACTCCTAATACTAATGGAAACTGAATAATTAAATATAACATCTAATAAACTAATATAGGAAATTGCCTGAATGGTAATATAGGAAACTACCTAAATGATAATATAGGAAACTGCCTGAATGGTTGTTTTCCCCAAAATCAGAAAAACTGCCGAGATTTTTTGTGATTACGGCGATCACATTGTTCAAGATAATCACAGACTAACTGTTCTACATCATTCCCTCCTTCTTCAGAAAAACTTGCCCTCGAGTTATGATCAGGATAGAGGAGTGATCGGAAGTATGATACTCAAATAAGTCTGCCACATTAAATGTAGGGGAAATGTTGAGATCACCAGGAAGGTCAACTACATAGGCATTATCGTTGATCTTCTTCAGGATGCGGCAAGGACCAATCTTCTTGTGCTTCAGTTTATTATAGGTACCTATAGGAAAACGCTCCTTTCACAGAAAAAACATTACCTCATCGCCTACCTCAAAAATTTTCGAACGTCGCCATTTGTCAGTATCCTCCTTATACTTTGAATTAGAAGCAGCCAATTGACTAGCCACAGCAGCTTGGACTTCATTAATTCTGGTCGCCAAATTCTCTGCCGCGACACTATAGCCTGGAATCTTGGGCAAGGGAACCAAATCCAGAGTATGCTGTGGTGTACGCCCATAAACGACCTGAAAGGGAGATGTACCGGTAGAGCGGTTAACCGAGTTGTTGAAGGCGAACTCAGCAGGAGCAAGATACCGGACCCACTGCTTAGGCATATCACTGCAGAGGCAGTGAATGATATCCGCCATAGTACGATTCACAACTTCCGTCTGACCATCCGTTTGGGGATGAAAAGAACTACTATACTGTAAATCAGTCCCAAACAAACGCCATAAAGTACGCCAAAAATGGCTCAGAAATTTCGTGTCACGATCAGAAGTGATTATCTTCAGCACACCATGGAGACGGACTACTTCACGAAAGAATAAACTTGCCACATGCGAAGCATTCGAAGTTTTCTTACGAGGGATGAAGTGCGCCATCTTCGAAAACCGGTCAACCACTACGAAAACAGAATCTAAACTCCGTTGAGTGCGAGGAAGTCCCAATACGAAGTCCATCGATATGTCTACCCAAGGACCCGAAGGAATAGGCAATGGGATATAAAGACCAGTGTTCTGAAAGTGGCCCTTAGCAGTCTGACAAATGTAGCATTTATTGACAAATCGCCCCACGTCTCGCTTCAGTTGAGGCTAATAGTACCGCTCCTCCACCAATGCTACAGTTTTATCTCGCCCCAAATGTCCTCCGAGAGTACCACCATGAAGCTCTCGAATGAGTTGTTCACGCAAGGAACCACGAGGAATGCATAATCTATTGCCAAAGAACAAGAATTTTTCTTGAATTGTCATATCGCCATAACAACCTGTTTCAAAACACTTCTTCCATATCTCACTAAAATCATCATCTTCAGGATAAAGAGAACATAGGTGATCAAAATCGACAACATCAGTGCGCATGGTCACGAGTGTCGCAGCACGTCGACTCAACGCATCTGCCACTTTATTTAAATGGCCTGCTTTGTGACGAAGCACAAAATTAAATTGCTCCAGAAAAGAAACCCATCGTGCATGTATTCGATTTAAGTGCTTCTGACTCTTGATATATTTAAGAGCCTGATAATCGGTGTTAAGAACAAATTCCTGCTGATAAAGATAGGACTGCCAATGCTTTATAGCTCGCACGACAGCATAATATTCCTGTTCATACGTCGACCAACGCCGGCGAACTTCATTAAGTTTTTCACTAAAGAAGGCTATAGGCTTACCTTCTTGGGAAAGGACAACGCCAATCCCGACGCCGGAAGCATCACAGTCCAGCTCGAACACTTTCTCAAAATCAGGGAGCATCAATACCGGCGCCGTGGAGAGTTTTTCTTTTATAAGAGCAAAACTGGCCGAAGCTTCTTCTCCCCAATGGAATTTGCCCTTCTTTAAACAGTAAGTGATCGAGGCCATAATAGTACTGAAATCTCGAATGAAACGCCTATAGAATGTTGCAAGACCATGAAAACTTCGAGCCTCGCCAACATTCTTTGGAACTGGCCAATTGCGAATCACGGCCACCTTATCTGTATCAACGTGAAGTCCATCCGCGCCAACAATAAAACCCAAAAACAAGAGGCGTTCTGTCATGAAGCTGCACTTTTTCAGATTAATGAACAATTTATTTTGCTGCAAGGTTAGTAGGACATCCCTCAAGTGCTCCATGTGTTGACGCCCATCCGGACTATATATGAGTATATCATCAAAGAAAACTACCACAAACTTGCCAAGAAAAGGTTTGAGAACTTGAGTCATCAAACGCATGAAAGTACTAGGTGCGTTAGTGAGTCCAAACGGCATGACAAGCCATTCGTACAAACCTGCACTTGTCTTGAAGGCCGTTTTCCATTCGTCGCCAGGGCGGATGCGAACTTGGTGGTATCCGCTTCGAAGGTCAATCTTCGTAAAAATCTATGATCCAGCAAGTCTGTCTAACATATCATCAAGTCGTGGAATCGGAAACCTATACTTGACAGTAATCCGGTTAATGGCACGACTGTCTACACACATACGCATGGTGCCGTCTTTCTTTGGCGTGAGAAGCGCAGGAACTGCACAAGGACTTTTGCTTTCACGCAAGAAGCTCTTTCGAAGGAGATCTCCCACTTGCTCCTGTAGAATCTGATTCTCCTTCGGATTCATCCGATAATGTGGCAAATTAGAAAGACTGGCTCCTGGAAGAAAATCAATCTCATGCTAGATATCCCTCAAAGGAGGTAATCCGTCAGGTAAATCCTTAGGCATAACATCACTGAATACCTTTAATAAGGGCTTAAGAATGTCGGGAACACGAACTACAACTTGCTGGTCGCCCTTGTCCACAATCATATACGTCCCTTCACGCTTTCGGATGTTCATCATAACCCCTGCATTCTGCTTCTTCACAATCTGAGGGGAATTACTTTTTGGTCTCAAAGTAATTTTAGTCCTTTTCCACACAAAAGAATACGTATTCTCCCTAGCTCGGTGTATAGCATCAACATCATATTGCCATGGTCGACCCAGTAAAACATGACACGCATCCATCTCCACAACATCATAGATAATAGTATCTTGATATGATTTTCCGATCGAAATAGGTAAACGGCATAATTGGTTTACCTTAAGCTCTGCTCCCTTGCGTATCCACCCGATCGTGTAGGGCGCGGGATGCGGCTCCATCTTTAGTTGCAAGTTATCCACCAAGGCCTTTGACACTATGTTCTCGCAACTTCCGCTGTCAATAATGATATCGCATACTTTGCCGTTGACAGTACAGCGAGCGCGGAAAAGCTGATTCCGCTGGGTATCTTCTGTCCGCGGAGTAAGCAATAGACGACGCACTACACAATTAACTTGCTCGCCCACTTCATCTTCCACTCCCACTTCTTCTTCATTTTCCCAATCTTCCTCATATACATCTTCGTCATGTTCAACGATATTGGCCATTCTACAACGAGGACAATCGCTGGAACGATGGCCCAACTCATTACACTTGTAGCACCTGATCGGTTGGGGCTTGGCATATGGATTCTGGGTATTCTGATTGGGAATGCGATTGCTTGCTGCGACTGCTTCCTTAGGCGTCCCACTAGTACCCCCTGGAACTCGGCTCGAATCAGGTGTTTGTTGACTAGAAGAACTTGCAACATCAGGCTGTCTTCCTTTCCCGAATGACCCACGACCCGAATAATTGCTACCACGAGTACTAGGGCTAGTCCTCTCCAATTGCACCTCAATTTTTCGCGCCATATCCTGGGCGTCTTCGACAGAGAATAGTCGATGCAAAGAAACCCGATCCTGGATATTAAGTCGTAAACCATTAATGTACCTAGCAGTTTGTTGTGCCTCGGACTCATCCAGGTTATTGCGAGCGGAGAGTCGAAGGAACTCTTCCGTATAAGCTTGGACCGATCTATTCGATTGTCAGCAATTCTGGAATTGCTGAAATAACAGTTGCTCATAGTCCATTGGGAGGAACCTCTTCTTCAACTTCTGTTTCATCTGACCCCATGATCGAATAGGAGCCTTGCCTTGTCGACATCGCGTCAATTGAGTCTGTTCCCACCAAGCTGAAGCGCCACCCTTCAACTTGTACGCCACAAGTTTCACTTGGCGATCCTCGTCAATATCCATAGCGTCGAAGAATTTCTTGACCTCCTAAAGCCAATCTAGGAAATCTTCAATATCCAAATTCCCATTGAAAATAGGGAGATCTACCTTTAGTTGATACTGCTCAGGATCTCGTCGATAGCCCCCCTGCCGTTGATCCCCACGAACATGCTCCTCCTGGAATCCCTTGTATCGGCGACCACCACGAATCTGCATCTCCTGGAAATTTTCGTCTTCGTCTTCCGTATCCTCGACATAGTCTTGACGCCTTTGTCGGGGAATTCCTCCACGCCCCATAGTATCTTCGGGATCACGAACGACAGGAATTCGCTCGGCTGGAAGATTGCCTGGCGCATAGTTTGTGGACAAACGCTGGATGGCATCAAGGATCTCTTGAAATCTCCGATTGGTTTGATCCATGAACTGATTGAACTCAGCCCGCGTAATAGGCTCGCTTTCACGGCCCTCAGCAGCGGCGAGATTGACATTCACGTTATTCACCATCGTCACAGGAGAAACCTGCTCTAATACCAATTGTAACACCCCGGGTCTACACTGTGTAATATTGTCCGCTTTTGGCCCACTGACCCTCACGGCTTTAAAA